ATCTATTGTTGAGTCACTTTTGGGTCAGCAAGTTAGGTAATGTCTCTGATTATACTTGAAGTTGGTTTTAGTTAGAAATAAGCGGTTTTCTGAGCATTGTTGTTCTCTGAGCTATTAGTTGAGCTATTTATTTATTTATTTTAACACATAGACGTTGATACAACGAGGCACCAAATACATATGCGCCACAAAGATCTTATTTGATTTGTGTGAGGGCTGTGATACTGCCCGGGTGCCCAAATTGAAACAGGTGATTTTTAAAGGGACCACACCGGAGCCTTCGACCCAAAGGTCTGATTCACAAGGCAGTGGAGCAACGTAAGGATGCAGTTCCATGGTAACCGGTGACCAAAGATAGGTTCATACGCCACTTGTTCCTTCAGGATACTGAAGCCCATGTGCACCATTGGTTTGGAATCAGGGTTTTCCAACCCGGTTAAAGCGCCGGACGTTCGCTTTTCATCCTCTCATTTTTGTAAACAACAACCCCACCACGAGAAGGCAGTGAGTAGGACTTCCCTGGCAGAGGCTATATACGCGTGGCCATGTGAAAGCATTTCGAGAGGGGGAGCAGACCCCCCACTCTCGGCCATACCAGGGCATTTGTGGGCCTTTATTAGTTGAGCTGGTGCAATGTGATACCCATGCAAGTACCTTTCAGTTTGCAAAGAATCACCCACATAGACAATAAAATCACCTGCTACGAGTACTATATCTGAGTGTCTAGCTTTTTAAAGGATGAAAAGCCTTCTATGAACGTTCATTTTTTAAAATTCATCTGAAATACAATTTGTGAAAACGTAGGGATAGGCAATGAAGAGACAACGACGTATCCATATCTTTCCGAGTTTTGTTATCTTGTTTAGTTGGACAACGCACAAGCGACTGTCTACCAGAATCCGACCCAGGACCTGTTCTGCTTTTGAACCTAGTGCTGTACCTACACCGGCGAAGTAACAGGAAGGACCAATGTGGTCTCCATACACACAGGGTAAATCGCCCTGATTGAGTTGTGTTCAGATGAATTACCACACGAAATCTGTATGCATTTATCGGAGATACAACACACGTCGATAGCGCGATATTCTAGAGTCCTAGCTAGGGAAGTCTGTAATAAAATTTGACATAAGTTTCGAACACTAAATGCTCCTAAATGTAGTTTAGAACGATTTCTTTTAGTTGGATATAAATTTGAATGATTGATTAATTCATTTGAACACATAGATATTGGTAAAAGGGGGCATCAGATACATATGCGCCACACATATCTTATTTGATTTTTGTGAGAGCTATGATACTGCCCGGGTGCCCAAACCGAAGCAGGTGGTTTTTTAAAGGGACCACACTTGGAGCCTTCGACCTAAAGATCTGATCCGCAAGACAGTGGAGCAACGTAAGGAGATGCAATCCCATGGTAGCCGTTGATCAACGATCGGTTTATACGGCAATTTTGATTAAAGCACGTTCCGTACAGGATTATATTGGGGCACGTTGATTTGCTAGTTCTTATCCAATCAACGCTAGTGTATACCTCAAGAAGACTCTAGAATCTCATGTAAAAACCATAAATGTACTAATGTTTCTTTTTGGGATTCCTACTTCCATTCAACCTTTTTATGTGGAGTATAATTACGTCCCTGTCCAACCGTGTTCTGAGTTGTGACTTGTCCAGTGAAGTAGTGTCTAAGAATACTAAGCAATAGTAGCTAGGTCGTAATAACAGAAAGTATAAGTTTCATAAAACCAGAATCTAGTTCATAAACACTGATGGGGTGTGAGGATAAGGCTAAAGTTATAGGAAACGGGCAGGTAGTGGTGAAAGAAGGATATCGAGTTAGTTAGACGTATGAAGGGGATTACCAATTTTCAGTTTTCTATTCCATAGGAGGATACATCTTGAAGTACATGGGACAGAAACTGAATTAGCAATAGTCTTGAGGGACTAAGAGGGCGACCGCAACGCCCGTAGAACAACTTCAGACCGGTTTATGTGGACTGTCTGTGTGAAGTTTGTAACGTGCTATTTCTATCCTTCAAATGACCA